AGATGCATTTACCTGAAGAGTTTTCTGTCAAATACTGAAAATAATCCACCCCATCTTCTGAGGTTAAGAACTGTRGCACAATAATTTCTGTGGGAGGAGCTGGAGTAGGGATGGTATTTGTAGCTGAGGTAGTGGTGATATTTGATGGTGTCGCAGGGGCTGTGGTTGGTGGGGGTGTTGTGGTGCTTGTTACAGGGCCCTTGCCACAGATGACTATCGTTGGTAGTTTAGTAACATTGTAGGTCTGTGCTAYGCAACTGACTTGTGCAGACTGCACTGACTGGGTCCCAGTAGAAACTGTTACATATGGCATCTAAAATAAAATAAATTTTCAGGTCTCAGGGTTTGTGAGGTAAGTGTTGCTCGTTTGGTCACAATGTTTTCCCATTTCAGACCATGTGTCATTTTCTTGAGCATAACATTCTTTGTTTGAGTTGTGTCCATATTCATGTGACTTCTCATGCGCAACCATTAAAAAAAGAAACAATACTCTAGGGAATGACACGTGGTATGAAATCGGTAAACATTATGCCAAGACAAACGAGGTCTAATGGACCAAATCCACTTCCAAATGCATAATGTATTGACCATTTCAGACCATTTCAGACCAGATGTCACTTTCTTGAGAATAAGATTTGKTTGAGTTGTGCATATACATATTCATGTGACTTCTCATGTACAACCATTAAACAAAGAAATAATAATCTAGGGAATGACATGTGGTCTGAAATTAGGTCTATTTGAATAGCACTAAGCTACAGAAGTCTTTTTGGGAATGGGATTGGTATGACACCTGAATATACAGCTAAAATATGTCTCACCTGAGCAACTCTTTGTCCCACATCAATGACGGTGGGTTCAAATCTGAATTGTGGTCCACCATTAGTACCAATGACAGAGCAGTTAACTACAGCTGGAAACTGCCCACTGACTGCCTCACTAAAAAATAAAAAATAAAAAAGGCATTATATTCTATTATTATATTCTATGTCAGTGGAAATGGGCTGCGCTTGGCGTGATGAATGGAATAAACATCAAGATAAAAATATCATATACCCTTGGTAGGATTTAAACCCAATATAGACTCCTTGCATGTGACATCAAAGCAGGTCAATTTGGAGGAGAAAAATAAAAGAATTTCGATCTTCTCAGAAATGGAAATCTATTGTTGTGTCCTCCAAATTGAGCTGCATTCCGACGTACTGCAATGGGTCTATTCGACATTCTAGTCTGATGTGTTAACCACTACACTACAAGGGCCTAACTACACTGGAAAACACAGCAGGATAATGAAATGCATGGCAAAAGTTCATGTGGGGTTTACAGGGAGATATTGTTTTGAAAGGGAAAGTTGAACACCGTAAAGTAGAGTAA